CTCTGGCAGAGGTAACTCCCTAGACCAGCTACCTAATTCCAGCAAAGCCTGCATATGTACCATTCCAGAAAAACGGTTGTCTACTATTAAAGGAGATGCCAGACCCTTCTTCTGAAAGAGTACATTCTAGCACCTGACTGCTGACCAATTGGCTACAGCTTACATGCATTCATTCGTTCAGTCCCCATTTGCTGAAGGGCTTACTAACAGGCATTTAAACCAAGGAATCCCTAAGAGAAACAGAAACAGCAGAATTATCATCAATATAGCTCACAAAAACAACAAAATTAAAATATTTCTGAAATCCCAACAGTAATTAGTAACTACAGTGGGAACCCAACAGCAATTAAGATAATATAAAAACCCAGGAATACCTTTTAAAGAAATGCGCAAGATCTACATGGGAACACTACACAACTTTGCTCAGAGACAGAAGAGAGAGCTTAATAAATGAAGACACACACCAAATCCTGGATGGGGAAATCTGATATGTAAACAGAAACTTTTTCAGATGTATTTATATTGGAATTATGCATTTTTTTCAGAAATCCCAAAATAACCTGGGTATGGGGAATTTTTTAATTGATTATAAAATTCATCTGGGAAAAGAAACTGGTGAAAATAGCTACGAGCATAGTAAAATAAATAGAGACAAATGAAGGGAAGAGACGAGATTTACTTTACCAGGTCCTCAAGTGCATGATAAAACCTCAATGATTAAAACCACGCTTGGCACAGGAGCCCTGGTGGCACAGCGGTTAAGAGTTTGACTGTTAACAAAAGGTCGTGACTCAAACCTACCACCCACTCCACAGGAGAAGGACATGGCAGCCTGCTCACATAAAGTTCAACAGCCTTGGAAACCCTATAAGGCAGTTCCACTCTGTCCTACAGAGTTGTTATGAGTTGCAATCTACTTGATGGTAACAGATTTGGTTTTCTTTTGATTTATATTGGCACAGGACAATGGACTGGAAGGGCCAAGTCCAGAAATACTTAGCCATGAACAAGAAGTATGTGATAGAGGCAGCAAATTCAATCAGTGAAAGAAGACTGACTCTATAAAGGTAAATGATAAACTGGAAAATTATGTGATAGACAAAAAACCATCTTTCAGATACATCTTTTATATTACAGTCTTTTCAAAATGAACTAAGAAAAAGAGAAATTCCTCAGTAGACAATTGGGCAAAGATTGTTTACCAGACAATTCACATATATACACACAGATACAAATTGTCAATGAAGATATGAAAACTGTTCAACTGTGCTAGTAATAAATGTAAATGAAAATAATTTATCTTTTTATGTATCAAACTCATAAAGCCCTGACATTATAACTTATGAAGGTATAAAGGAAAACAGTGCCTGCAACCTATTTGGTGGCCAATTCAATAATCAACACAAAAATGTTTTTACCATTAATTCCACAGCTATAAATTTATCCCAATTAAATAATTATATGATGTTGGACAAGAGTTTATCTACAAGGTGGTTTAAGGAAGCATTGTTTATATTTGCAAAACACTGGAAAGAACCTAAAATAGGGGATGGGTTAAATGAGTTATGATGCATCCATTTGATATACTGATTATTCACTAAAAACAATTCTAGAGAAGGAGGTTTAATGGCACTGGAAAATGTTCATGACATAGCTTGTGAAGAAGCTACAAACTGTTTACTATATGACGTCATGCTGGTCACAAAAAAAACTATGCACAATAGACTATATGAATATAGAAATAATGATAATAGTGGTTGCCTCTGTGAGGTCTATTATAGATTATTATATTCTTTTTGCTTTTTTGAACTTTCCAATTTTTCTACACTAAAGTATATATTTTTGTATTTAAAGTTATTTGCTAAAAACAATGGTAATGATATACATCAAAGTTCCACTGGTTTTCTCTGAGTGCTAAAATTAAGATTTATTATTTTTTAGTATGACTTTCCATATTTTTCCAATTTTTCTACAAGATCTGTTTAAAAGGAAAGAAAAGAAAAACCACACACTCACTCACTAAAGATGTTTCCTTAGGAGACTAGACCTACAAAATTAGTTAAAATTCAGAGAAGCTCAGGCCAAGTGCCAAATGAGAGTTCACAAAGAGTGATATGAAACTGAGCACCTCCAAAGCAGGGGCTTGGTTTTTCTCTCTGTATCCCAGCACTTAGTACATGGCATCTTAGGTGCTCAACAGGTATTTCTCAAAATGGAAAACACTACCACCCCCACCACTGACTCCTACCACCTCCATTTTAGAAGTCTTTCATCTTCCCACCAATGCCAAGCTAATTCAAAGTGGCAGTGTAGAATATAATAGATTCATAGTAGACTCCTGATAGAACAAACACCAACTAAGGTATTTAGACTCTTTAAAGTGCTACAGAAAGTCTTCTGTTTTTTTAAAAAATGAAACCAAGGTTAATCAATTCTGCAATATCAAAAAAATAATTCCATTTAGGAAGTTCTTTTCCTAAATTGCTTATTTTTCCCCCTTTTTTTCTGGATGTGTGATGTTTTAAGGTAAAAATGGTTAGAGTGTATTACCATTTGGCAAAGTGGTATTCTTTAACAAGATTCAGCTACCAAAAACTGGGAGACCTCAGGAGCAGCTCTTTGCCTGACCTTACAGCCCTGAAATTCTCAAGCATCCACATTAATAAGGGAAAAGAGCCCCACAACTTTAACCTCCTCCGCCTCTGGACTGCAACAGCCGATTGGCTAAATTAATAAAGTGAGTTCCCACTTCCTTCTCTTCTGTTTCGTATGTTCAAGACTAGAGAAAGAATTACCAAGGTCTCAGAAGACCAAATTCCAAAGGAGAAAGAACAATAAGAAAACTAGATAACCAACCCTTCAACAAGCAAAAGTTCACTGGTCTATGGAAGCAGGCTGAATTATAAGCAGCTTGCTCAGTAGTGGCTTCAAATCCATTCTTCTAGAGTGTTTGCTCCCATACCATCCTATATATACCTCAATCTTTGCATGTAGTATATTAACTAAAACAGTCTCTACATCTGTCTCACGAGACAAACTATACATTTCTATAGGATAGAAGCTGTACTCACTAACAATCCAGTACTGAACTCAGCACCAAGCAAAAGTTCTTAGGACACAGTAGGCAGAAAGTACACATCCCTACACTGCTAAAATGAAGTATAAAATCGACATTCATTGCCATTCCTGCAGAAGGGAAAGGTGCATAGATGTAGTAAGCCTAAGAACCTCTACCTGAAGGGGTGAGATTTTAGTAATAATAATAAAAAAACAATGCCTAAGTAAACAATTAGAGGGGAGAAGTACTAGAAGGCATTTCAGTAGACAGCCCCAGTTCACTTCAGAGGCAGGAAGAAGGGGGAGAATCAAAATATGAGAAAGAGAAGCCCCATCTTCCAACCCTTTCTATCATAAGAGATAAATTTGAATTTCTAATTCATGTATCAATTCCTAAAGTACAAAGGAAGCTTGAGCAAAACATAGTCAGCCACAATATGGAACAATTAAAAGGGAAGGAGAGATGAGGAGAACCACATGTGCCAAGAAGTACATTCACCCCAAACAACACACACATTACACAGTAGAGAAAGCTAACTGTTCGCCGTGTTCCACCACATTCCTGACTGTAAGGGTCTGGTCTGTCCTTTTTACTGAAGAAATATAAATATTCAGATTCTAACTTTCAGAGTTGGACTATTTTTTCAAAAAGGGTGTGCCCAAAACAACCACATGTATTTACAGAAGCATCATTACATATCATCTTGTTCATGAAGGGCACCAAGAAGCCACTCACTCTGGATGGGTATCTGGTATTTCAAATTGATGGGAGCCAAGAGACAAGTGAGAGGTTTGTTCTATGGTTCTAAGCCCTGGCTACATATGAGAATGACCTGGGGGAGATTTAAAAAATACTAGTATACAGGCTCAACCCAAATCAGTTAACTCAGAATTGCTGGGGGTGAGATCTGGGCTTTTTTTTTTTAAAAAAAACTCTACAAAGAAGTATTAATTTTGTTCAAAGCAAGTTATATATATATATTTTAAGTCTTTACCTACTAGGGATAGAAAATTTTTACAGATAAAGTAAGTGGGATTTGCTTTAAAAATTTAAATTTGTGTGGAGAGGAATATACAAGATTGGCAAAAGGTTGATAATTGTTGAGGATGACAGAGCCATAGGAATTGACTTATTCTCTCTACTTTTGCATATTTGAAATTTTCTATAATAAAAAAAAGTTATATAATCAGCAGAAATAAACATTTGTTGTCTTCCCTCTCCTAAAAAGTATATGTGTATACATGTACATACATATATAATGTGTTTAATATAAACCATTTTAAGAAATGCATTAAAATGAAAGCTCTCCGAGTGATTCTAATGTGCAACCAGCATTGAGAACCACTAGACTGCATCAGTGAAGGATGAGCAACTTGATTTGGAAAATAAAGATTTCAATAAGCAGCAAGAGGCAAGCCAGGTGAGGATGATCCAAACTCAGGCCTGCAGCAACATCCAACCCAGTGAGGGTGGCAGGTCTCCTCCAGTCAGTCACCATCTCCAATTTCTGTCATACATGCATTTGTTTGAATTTTGAGAAACCTCATTTACAAGTAAACTGCAAACACACACATATCTGTATCTATATCTGTCTATATATCTATATCTATACACGTGTTTGTGTATACATACACACATATATGTATACATTTGTGTGTATATGATTGAAGAGAACACTATCAATTATAATCAGTTGCATGTAATTTAAAAACAAACAAACAATTTTTTGGAAACATTACCTATGAGCATTCCTCAGGAGGGGGCTAGGGGATGCGGACTGAAGCCACAGTCTTTGGAACTAAGTGATTAATGTACAGGGCTACTTAGAAGGTTCTCTTAAATCAGGGGCTATTACTGGGAAGAGAAGCAACCAAGTCTCAACGTAATGAAGAGAGAATGCACCAAAACTCCTCCCATTCCACCACCAAAATCCCCAACTCACCTATTTTTCTCCATTTCATTGTGAGTTGATCTAAAAGAGGAAACAATAAGAAAATGATTATTCCTGTCTTGAAGGACTACTTCAACATCAACCTGATTATTTTAACTTCTTATTCCAAAGTTGGTAGGAGAGAAAACAGAGAAAGGGAGAAAAATTCACTGGGCTCTACTAAAGAAATTAGTCCATTTGGGGAGTTAAGATAAATATCTAAAACAGTACAAGGAGAATAACAAGCTAAGAGGATGTAGTCCCAGTGGAAAAAGAATCCATTTTAAGGCAGGAAATAAAAGGGGGTCTATTTATAAAAGAGAAAAACAGCTGCACAATACGATGTGATTTTGGGTTATGTAATACCACAAAGCTGAGGGTAGGATAGTGGAGGCGGCATCCCCACTCTAGCTCTGTACATTTTTCTAGGTGTAGTATACTACAATTTTATGCTAAGTTGTTTAACTATAGTTTAAAATGGGTAAAACAACCTTTCCTCCAATCTTTGTATTCTCTAAAAACTATCTTGTCCTGAAAGACGCTACTATTGAGTCGCTACAAATGACTTTAGGAAGGAGTTTCTAAAACTCAGCCCAACATAAAGACTAGTTGAAGCAGTAGTTAGGGTGAAATTTGAAGTTCAAGCTTTGCAATTGACTAGCACTATAGAAGAAATCAAACTCTTGACCATCCTGTCCTTGGTTAACCCCTCTATAAAAAGGGAATAAAAGTAATTGACAATTACCTACTGAACAAGCATGGATCAATGAAGTAGCAACTGTAAAAGTGATTAGAGAGTCTTGGATGAAAGCTGTGGTGGATCTGAAATCATATTATTAGTATGTTTATAGCTGCCCTTGAATATAAGGTCTGCTCTAAGAACTCATGGGCAGGTTTCCACAAAAATCATAAGCAGTCAGTCAATGCAGCCACTTTAGTGTCCTTCCTCATACAGCTCCTCCCTAACCAGTTATAAATAAACTGTGTGAGGAACCTCCTAGCATTATAAAGGAGCTGAATCTTGACCTTTCTTATATAAGGAAATGCTTATTCCCTGACTCAGGTCTCAACTTCTGGGGGCCATTAATCTGTACCTTACTGGGTGTAGAAGATAAATTCTCACAGCAATCATGGACGAACACTACCTCATGATACTCAGCCACTAACTTATACGGGTCAGGGGAGGTACACTGTCACCAAGTTCATTCACACCAGGAATCTGGAGGGATGGTGGTGATGGTGGTATATGTATATGGTGGGACCTTCAAATGGAAAATTTCAACAAAGCACTAAAATGTCTCTTCCACAGACCCTTGGGATATCAATTTTTATTTAGGAGGCGGGGACAAAACAAAAAGAGTATTATTTTTAAAAATTTCAGAATATTGGTTTTGTAGATAACCAATATCTTAGGCATAGTGCCCAAGGCATTTGACTGCTAACCAGAAGGCTGGCAGTTCAAATCCACCAGTCATTCCTCAGAAGGAAGACTGGACAATCTACTTCCGTAGAGATACCACCTAGAAAACGCAAGGAGGGGTCGCTATGAGTCAAAATCGACTTGATGGCACTGAGTTAGATATTTGGAGTTTAGATAAGGATATGTGGACCTTAAAATTGGTTAACTTAAAAGCTTTATATTGGTTCACTTGGTTGTCCCTTCTCCAGCCACATTTTTCTAAAGGTTTACTTCCTATAATGGCCAGCAGGCTATCACCATTAACAAGAATCTGGCCTGCATTTTAGTTTTAGTTTTAACAAGGAATAACAAGTTCAAAGTCTGACAGGTTTTTAAAATGGATGAAAGTATATGGCAACAGCTGACCAAGATTTCCCTGTATAACAAAGTGGGAGGAGGAAGGGAAGAGGGTAGATAGGTTTAAAGGAACATGGTCTCTGGTAGTAGAAATAACAATATGCAGGGTACTCTTACCAAAAATTTTGGGGTTCTTTGAATGAATATATATATTTATTTCACATATTATATATAATATATATATTTATACAGTTATTATATATTTTAATTATATGTATATACACACACAGAGATATATATTTAAATTACTCTAAATCTCCAAGATAAACTTTTAACAAATTCCATAGTAAGCATAACTCCTTACAAGCCTTGAAGAGACTTCTGGAAACTACAGCTCTTATTTCGTTATTGGACCTGCTGAACACATGGTGATTTTTAATGGGCGGTTTATACCTAATGGACATTAATGAAGTACATTTGGTTTATTAAAACTGCATCTTTAATAAAAAGCAGGCAGTTCAAAAATAGTTCAGAGATTGCTTGCCATCTCTGTTGATGGTTAAACATTTATATTTTTAATTAAAGCATTAGAAGAACACATAGATACTTTGTGTCAAAACTATTTCCCATGAGATTACTAAAAATATTTGGTAACTCTGGATTCACTGATCTAGGTCAAATTTCACCATTTAAAAAATATATTCTAGCAAAAAGATAACTAAACCAAATTATAAAGTATCTGAGAAATGGGAAAAGCCCTTGAGTTCAGAAAGATGCCACATGTCAGGTCAGCTCTGTAGCCCACATCCTATAAAAGAACTGGCAGTAAGCCTTGAACTTCCCCTTTCACATGAGTGCCAAAGCTTGGTCTACTAATTTATCAAAACCGATTTTTAAAAGCTCTGTATATTAACTCTAAATAATTAGTAACTGCTTTTAAAAATCATTAGGAACAAAAGAAGTTTCCATAATAATTCTCTGATGGTTCCAAAATGATTAATATTCACCATTTCATTGTTTTTATTTTCCAAATAAGTAACTAGAGAAACTTAAGATCTGCATTTTCAGTTCCAAAGAAGTTTGATATGTGGTTCAATCTTATTTTGCATTGTTCAAGGGAAAATACCCTCCAGAATCTATAAGCAAAGAGCACAGCAATTCAACCTGAATCAGTAAGAATAAACTGTTATCCAATGGTTATGTAAACCAGCAATCATCTCTCCCTTACCCCTCACTTTAGTTCAAAATTCTGACCACACATGGCCTTGGATAGAAGTCTAATTGAAATCAAGGAGTCAAACTGCATTCTCTGGTGAGATATCTCACTGCCAAGTAAGGGTCATTCCAAATGGGTCACTAAGGAAGTGATCACATTAAAATAAAACAACCTACTCTTGCTGCATTTGTTTGCTTGGGTGCCATCTCCAGGTTTAATCATGGTCTGTCAGGGATCTTGGCACCACTGAAGATGTCATATTAATTGCTAGTTAAAAATATGGACAACTGTGATTGTTTCCCTGGAAACAATCTAACCATGGAAAGACAACCAAGTCATTAGCAGAAAAGAGCTTTTCGCAAAAACCAGGAATTAAGGGCCATTTTTCAGGAATAATGCTGATTACTGGAAAGGGGAAAAAATAAATAAATAAAATAAGAGAAAGAAAAGAAATGAAGAATCAGTATCTTGGCCTGAAATCCTCAACTATCATTCTTCTTCCCTAATCGTCCTATGGATCAAGACACTTCTCTTCAACTGACAGTTCCCATACTCTGCCATAAGTTTCCTGTGCAACTTAGGAAAAACAAATGTAAGGTATTAAATCTGTACTATTATACATGATAACGCCTCTCTAATAGTAAGTAGAAAATAATAAAAACAACAAATAAACAATACTTTTCCAGAAAAATAAACCAAAAGCCTCAGAAAAGTCTTCCAAACAAAAATTTAAAAATTAATACTGTAACAAAAGGCAACACAGCTTACTTGTTTTTATACCATTGCATAATACAAGTCAGTATTCAGTTTTATTAAAGGGCCTCAGTACCCATGTGCAGAACTATTAGCTACTACCTTCAGGTAAACTAAAGATGGGAAGGCAAGGAAAAAAACATCAGGTAATTACCAGGTTCACCCTTTATGTGCTTGCTTATTCAAGAGCACAGCACATGTGTGCTGCACACACCCCATGTTCCACTAATAACACAAGGACAATAGGGTAAACTAAGGACAGAAGAGGCAGCAAGAACAAGTGAGTTTTAGGTTTAAGTGGGGATTTTCTGGCTTTTAGAGGTCTGTATTGTGCCACAGAGGCTATCCAAATACAGTTACTTATACAGAGTTATTTAAGGGAGGAGGGATAGAGGAGAATGACATTCTAAATTAATGATGAAAAAGTGAATGATTTTAATTTACTAGCATGAAAGGAATAATAGAAAAGATGTAATAAGACAAATTTCCTAGTCAACGAAAATTTTAAGGGCAAATTGGGAAAGAAAGGGCAGTAGTAGAAAGGACAGAGCACTTACGTGTCAGGAACTATGTTTAGGACTTTAATATGTGATTTCACTGACCATTAACGAAGTACTTTCCAATGAGATTCATAGCTTTTAAGAACTATAAGGTAATTTATAAGGCTAACATGAAAGGGCTGTGCCATATTAATATTTTAAAATCATGTTTCTCCATCACCAAATAGGTAGGTTTTAACCTCAATAATTTTCGATAGGTTTTAACCCAGTAATTCCCCATCGTCGTTATAAAGAGATGTAACCAATTAGATTATCAAGCAAAGCACTGATTTTAATTTACATGTTAAATATGAAATCCTATCACCTATGCCAAATCAGATTTTTAAAAATCTATTTATAAATATTTACTATAAAAAGTAAGAGAAATGGATAATGTCCAGCTTTTTCAATTATAGAAAACTTGCCCTGAATATACAACTTCTGAAGGCAAAATATCATCACTGCTGCAAGTACCACTTGAAGCTTCCATATATTTTTGTTTCAAGAGGGAATAAAGGCAAAATTAAAACAAAAGCCAAATACAAACTCACAAAACCATTGCTCATAAAGAAATGTGAAACACTTCCATTTCTCTTTTATTTTAAATCCCCTTAATCCAAACACAAGGGCTGCTTCCTCCAATGGCTTAAGACCCAGTGTGCATTACTGAATTATGACCACCACTGAATGCACTTACAGGGTTATAATAACAACAGGCAACTTAAATTTTGCAGTTTGTGTCATCTACAGTTTAATCTAAAACAGAAAGAAAAATATTTACCAAATTACCTGCTACTGCTGTTATTCTTCTTGGATTTGTTCCTCCGTTTTAAGGCATCTCTGTCCTTGCTATTGTATGGTAACATGGAGGCATAACCATGTTCAGCTTCTAGAAAACCGGAGGATGCAGTTAATGAACGAGCCCCGAACATTCAATACTCTGCCCCCACCAATGTCTTTATTTTCTCTTTAAGAGAACATAGTGGAAATAATTAAATGCAGCAAAGTGGAATTCTGCGAATAATTAAAAAAAAAAAAAAAAACAAAACTAAATACTCTCAGTTCGGAGGTGTAAGGATTCCAGCTGCTCATTGTTGAGAGAGACACAGCGAGTCGCTCGCTCATCAAGCCTGGGTTTCCCATTCGCAGTGTCCCGCAGGCTGGTGTGTGTAAATCGGACCTGCCTCAGGCGAAGGTGCGGGACAAACACGGGGCACAGGGGGAAAGGGAGGTGCTCCTGCTCCAGCTGGGAGACAGGGCGCCAGGCCCACTTGGGGGCCGGCGGGGGCGACCCGGGTAAGGGAAACCAGGGGGTCTTGACTACCCCACTCGCAAGGGGGTGGGAGGCAGCGCTCGGGACAGCCGGGGTTGACAGCCCCTTTCCAGCCCCATTCATTGCTTTGGTACCGCGGCGGCCTTCCTCGGAATGCGCGTGGAGAGAGCTGGAGGGGTTGGAAGCGCTGGCAGTCGCGCTCTCCGCGCCTCCAACAACCTCCGGAGCGGCTGGACCCCTCGACTCGTGGACCAGCCCCTCTGGGTCCCCGGCCCCGACTCGACTGGGCCCTCTCCCCGTCCCCGTGCACCTCTCTCCCGCCGCTCCAGGTAGTCGGCCGCCTCAAGCAGCAACTGGATGTTCATCCGAACCGCCGTCGCCATTCTGCACTGGGGGCCGGAGCCACGGGACCAACCCCCACTGCCCACGGGCTCGCCGCCGCCGCTGGACACCCGCGCCCCACTGTGGACTCCGTGGAGGAGGGCTGAGGGAGCCTCTCTGGCGATCACTCTCGCTGGGAGGGGGAGGAGACCAGTGAGCTTGGCACCGCCGAAACCGTGACAGAACCCCAAGCTGAGCAGCAGCCGCCACCGCCGCGGAGTGTTTATCCCCGACTCACCATCCCCCCGCCCCCAGACCCTGCTCTTGACAGGCCCGCTTTAGCTACGTTCCTCATTGGACACTCCAAAGAATGCCCCGCCCCTTGCCTTGTCCTATTGGGGTAAGGCACCACGGCCCCGCCTCCCAAAGTCCGCTTCTTTCGCTGGTTGGGCCCGCTTGACAAGGCCCGGACTCCACCCCCTTTCCCCAATTGGTGACAGGATTCGCAACTCCGCCTCGTGCTTCTTCCCTGTTTTCCATTGGTTCTATACCGACAACCAGGCCCCCTTTTGCTTTGTTAGTATTGGCCAAGTGCTATCCAAGGCAAACCACTTCGCCTGCTTTCTATTGGTGGAGCCTTCTGAAACCTCCCAACTACGATGATGTAACCTTTCTCCAGGCCCTGGCGAGCGCTGAGTGGCTGAAGGTAAGGGACCCGGCTACTGCTCCTTGGGCCTGGCATTGGTTGGGAAGGACGACCCGGCTAGGCGGTGCTGAATCACCAGTCACCGTGGAGCCGGGCTCCACCCAGCCCGTCCTCGGACCTGTTGCCGACCCTTCTCCCCGGGGAAAACTTCCGGAGGATTGTAGGACGGGAGTCCCTCGAGTGGAAAGGCAGGCATCGTGTCTCGCCTGGGTTCTGCCCAGCTCCGTTTCGAAGCCGGAGCCCTGAGCCTGGCAGCTTCCTGGGACTCAGGGAGAGCGGAGCCGGCAACCTGGCGAGCGGCCGGTAGGTTTGTGGCTCCAGTGGCGCCACGTGGCTGCGGAACTTCAAGAAAAAAGCCTGGCTCGGGTTAATTGCTCGCCGCCCAGTTTTTTTTTTTTTTAACTGCGGAATACAGCACAGGTCCTTTCCAGAGGCTTTTTTTTTTTCCTCCCTTCCCGGAATGTGATGGTATATAATTCCCTCCCGCAAGTTGGTTTTAAAACCTTCTTGTACCTACAAATAACTTTAAACTCCGAGATTCTTTGACCTCCTCAATCTCTTTCTGGGTCTCTCCCTCCCTATTCTAGATGTGAACATTCAAGAGAATGAATACTCACTTCTCTGAAGGGTGTATGTGTTGGGGGAGTGATGGTACCAACAGACATACTTGATAGAATGTTAAATCTACCGAACTAAAATGTATATTTAAGAGAGAGATGCCAAGACACATGGAGAACTCCAAAGAACCAGGAAGCAGAAACTGAAGAAACAAGGACTTTCTTCTAGAGCCATAGCGAGTCAGCACTCTGAATTCTAGACTCCTAAACTGTGAGAAAACAAATTGGTTAAAGTAAAAAAAAAAAGTATATTTAAGGATGGTGCCCTACACTTATCAGGATTTCAGAGATGAAAGCTATCTGGAGACCCAAGTTTCATGGTTAATATACTGATACCTCAATTTAAAAAGTAGAATTTTTTATAAGTTGAGAGTCCTGAAAATAGCAATGAGTAAAGTGTGATCACATTTAGAAAGCTTTTTTTGAAAGTTTGTTACTGTTGCCAGTAGTACAGCTTTGTTGTTGTTGTTAGGTGCCAGTTGAGTCAGCTCCAACTCACAGCAACCCTATGTAAAATAGAATGAAACACTGCCCCGTCCTGTGTCAGCCTCACAATCTTTGCTATACCTGCCCATTGTTGCAGCCACTGTGTCAGTCCATCTCGTTCAGGGCCTTTACCTTTTTTGTTGACCCTCCACTTTACAAAGCATGATATTCTTCTTCAGGGAATGGGCCCTTCTGGCAGCATGACCAAAGTAAGGAAGACGAAGTCTGTCTATTCTTGCTTCCAAGGAACATTCTGGCTGCACTTCTGCCAGGACAGATTTGTTCATTCTTCTGGCAGTCTGTGGGACTTTTCAGTATAGCTTACTTTGTGTTCAAGTAGGACAAATAGGTGTCGCTGTGGTTAAAGCATTGGGCTGCTAACCAACAGGTTGGCAGTTCAAACCTACCAGCCACTCCAAGGCAGTCTGCTTTGGTAAAGATTTATAGTCTTGGAAACCTATGGGGCAGTTCTAATCTGTCCTATAGGGTCACTTGGAGTCAGAATCGACTTGAGGGCAGTGTGTTTGTTTTTTGGTTATAGGTCAAATTATTTACCTACATTATCTCTAATCTTAAATATAACTCCATGAGATCAGTTGTGTTGATTATCTACAGTTTGCAGATAAGGAAATCCCAGATCCCCCTATCCCCCCTCAAGGAGGCTAAGTGACTCCTAGCCAAGCAGCCTCAGGGGGAACTGAACCTAAGTCCTTCTCACTGACAGCCCATGCTCTGGTTGTACTGAAGACAACAGTGAAAAGAAACAGATTTCCAGAATGAGTCACAAAACACCAACACTCATAAACACTAGGAAAAAAGAAAGAAAAAGATGTAAATGTAATTATCGAGGGAAATTTTTAACTTGTCATTTTTAATGGTTGACAAATCCATTACAATTAAATAAGCTCAATAGAATTATTAAGTAGATAGATATGTATTAAACCATGCCTCACAAATGGGAAACACGTTTTCTGGTTTTGATAGTTAATTGGATCTAAAAGTTGGCTCTTTATGAAAACACTAATTAAATAATACGTACTGAAGAAAGAATAAAAGTTGGGAATGAGAATGGACATGTAACAATTTAAAGAGGTTTTTCTTTTTAAAGTGCATGCTTAACTGTAAAATACACTTAAAAATCAAATGGAATGAATGCAATTCTACTAAATTCCAAAAATAACACTTTGATTTTCTTAAACCTTAACTTTTTGGATTTTCAATAATTTTTTATTTCTTCCCGATTGTATTATGATCATTCAACACATCTCTTTATTCTTTCTCTTATTCTCAACTCTTTACTTTTGCCAAGTCCTATTTCAATATTATTACCCTTCCCCTAGGAGTCACTGGGTGGCACAAATGGTTAAGTGATTAACTATCAACTGAAAGGTTGGTGACCTGCATCCACCCAGATGGTCCTTGGAAGACATGCTGGCAATCTGCGTCTGATAGGTCCTAGCCTTGAAAACCCTAAGGAACAGCTCTACTCTGCACACACAGGGTTGCCATGAATAGCAATCTACACAAAGGCAACTAACAACAATAACCTTTCTCCTAGAATCACTCTGATTGAACATGACACTTATAAAAAAGAAGGGGAAAAAAGGTTGAAATCTGAAGTCAAAGATTGGAAATTAAAATTTAAACACCACAGGTCTAACAGAACTACCAAGTTATATAAAAATCAGAGAATTAGCCTAAAGAACCTCAGTTTCCTGGTGGTGGAAGAAATGATTAGCCACCAATGCCAACCAGCAATTAGAATCATGAAGAACTTCAAAGGGTATTTGGTGCCATCTACTGGACGTGAAGCTGTAGGTATAAAACAAATATTTTAGTTTTTTCCCCTAAAATTTTAAACAAAGGATATATAAATACAATGACAACTTAATGAAGAAAATCTGAAAGTACAAGTTTTGAAGAAAGAGCTAAAACTCCTAAGACAGTGATGACCTTCCAGCACCTAGTGACTTGGAGGCATTACATAGTAAGCACTGACTAGACAACTCAAAAGTTGGGGAATTCTGGAATATTTTGAATCTTAATTTTATGACAGTTTTAAATGAGAGTCATATGTATTAGTAGAAACATAGAAGTCCCTGAGTGACACAAATGACTAAACACTCAACCACTAGCCACAAGGTTGCTGGTTCAAACCCACACAAGAGGACCTTTGGAAGACAGGCCTGGTGATCTGCTTTTGAAAGGTCACAGCCTTGAAAACCCTATGGAGGAGTTCTACTCTGCACACATGGGGTCAGCAGGAGTTGGAATAGACTTAACAGTACCTACCAGTAACAGCAGAAACATGGGCTGACAATATAGCTTATATCTTTAACACACGTTAAGATAAACCAATAGAATTGGGAAATACAGTTGAAAATGGAAAAGCACAAAAACATGACATATTACACTTGTCAGCTAATCTTTACTACATCTTTTAGAAACTAAAACCCAACCCCCTGCCTTTGAAGGGCACAGGATAATATGCTAAAAGGTAAATGCCAATGCTGAAATGAACATTGTGTTATCATGTTCATTGAATGCTATAGGAATTCTGACAGAGAGATAACTCTTCAGTGATTACCTCAGGGTGGCAGTGGGGGCAAAAAAGAAAAAAAAGCGTCATCATGTTGTTGTTGTTATGTGCCGTCGAGTCAAACCCGACTCACAGCGACCCCTCCTTGGGTTTCCAAGGCAGTATCACTACAGAAGTAGGATTGCCCAACCTGCCTTCTGAGGAGTGGCTGGTGGGTTTGAACCGCCAGCCGTCTGGTTAGCAGGCAAGTGTCTTAGCCACTATGCTACCAGAGCTCATCATATTATAAGCCTTAAATGTCTAAAAAGTTCCCAAACTGTGGGAATTGGAACACCCTATGTATAATTAATTTTTCACCTCTTAAGCATTATGGTAGGGTAGTGAATAAGGCATTTGACTGCTAACCAGAATGTCAGCAATTCTAAACCCACCAGCCGCTCATGGAAGGAAGATGGGGCAATCTTCCTTCCGTAAAGATTTACAGCTCAGAAACCCAATTGGGGTCTCTATGAGTCAGAATTGACTCGATGGAAGTGAGTTTGGTTTTTTGGTTTTTGAAGCACTATGACAAGGCGCTCTGGTGGTGTAGTGGCTAAGGTATTTGGCCACTAACTAGATGGTCCATGGTTTAAACCCACTAGCTGCTCCATTGAAGAAAGATGAGGTGATTTGCTTCCATAAAGATTTATAGCCATGGAAACTCAATGGGGGGGTCACTAAGAGTCACAATCAACTTGATGGCAATGAGTTTTTTTGTTTGTTTTGGAAGCACTGATATTAAAATGAATTTTATAAGTTTTTAAGTGATTTTTTTTTCTTGCTCACAGTGTAAAAATCAGGACTGGAAAGATCTACTTCAATAATACCAGTCCTTTTTTTTTTTGTGCCTGCTTTGCAACAATCC